GTCTAGGAGGATTGGCGCGAGTAATTTTTAGAAGTGAGTGCGCCTCCCCCACCCCCGCGCCCTCCCCTAGATACGCCAATGTTAGTAAAAAAAAAAACAATATTCATTTTTAAAAAGTCGAATTATAGTAAGTCACATGACTATGTAGCAATTGTTATCTACCACTTTAGTTGTAAACACGAGCATTAATTGTTTTGTCATAACAATGACTTACCTTTACCGCCTCCAGGGATGAATCCTCTTTTCGTGAGTAGACATGTAGTTGCTGGCTAAACGATGTGGAAACATATATGGTCCTAAAAATGATGTATACTAATTATTATTATTGTTATTATTTTTATTATTATTATTATTATTCAATGAAAACAGAGGACGTTACTTTAAAATAGAAGGAGGCTTTGCAAGATGGTTAAGTAATGATATGAGGGGTGGTTGGGGACTGGATTTTTACCTGGTGCATAGGTCACACTGCAATCTATATAGGTAATTCGAAATGTGATAAGCATAAAGAAAATGTTTTTTTGGGTTTTTTTTAATATTCAGTCACCCCAAACAAGACCAAGGACCTTTGAAACCCCTAAACCCCTAAATTGTCATTCTTTTCAGCGGGCTTCGCCCCCGAAACATTTTCGAGACATTGAGCGCCGCCCGACAACTCCCACTTTTTTGTCGGGACATTCCCCCACCCCCGGTGAGGGTCCACGGACCCCCCGTCGGGCAAATCCTGGTGCCACCACTGTTCCTGTCAGAAGATACACACGACCAAAATACCAACTTCGCTCCTTCAGCCTCCAACGGAGACTTACTTTATATAGATCACCATGTGTATGTGTGCTTGTCTGGAATTGTCACTTTTACAAGACAGGGATAAGCACAGCGGCGTAGCTAGGTGCGAAAGGGTCCCAGTGCAAGATTAATTTGCCGGGCCTTTTGATGTAATAGGGGAATTTCCTAAATTTCTCAGAAAATTCATTGTAAGAAGTGCTTCTTTTACCACTCCACCCCTAAAGACCTAGGCCACTACATTGAAATCAACACAGTAATACTAAATGTACTAATGATAATCGGATTCGTAACTATTTTAAGAGGGGCATATTCGGTCCCAGCAGCTGTTCTAAACTAATCAAGAAAATTGGTGGCAGGTAAAATTAAACAATTGCAGTGGCGGATCAGGGAATTCGAATGTAATTTGAATGTAATTTTCTTTTTCTCCATTTATTTTTTTATAATTTTGAAAAAATTAGGGGTGTCGAGTCGACTGGGGCCCATTTGAATTCACCGCTAAATTGAAATCAACACATAGTAATCAATAACTCCTCTAAAAACCGAATATTATTGAGGGGCCCACTGGTCCTTTTTTCTTCACATATATTAAGGAAAATATTTAAAATTATTATTTTTAGGTCTATTTATGAATGGGCCCCAATAGCCCTGGGCCCCAGTGCGTTCCACTGGCTGCACCACTGGATCCGGATCATCATCATCATCAGGCCTTGGCCCATATACATTAAATCAATCTAAAATTAATAATTTTGGTCAATATTTCATCCTACAGCTGTCAAACAAGCATACCGTTGATCGGGCGATACATTGATTCCATTGGCTCCTGACAGTCCACTAGCAACAACCGAGGATTTCTTTCCGTCATAGAAAACAACATTTGCGAACGGCAACTGTAGAATTTTTTCTAATAAGATGTATTTGTAGCCAAACGTGAGGAAGTTGGTTGCATAGAATGTATCTGGACCAACTGCTACCACATCATTCAAGCTTAAAAAAAAGCAAGAAATAATAAAATTAAAATGGATTTCACATGAACATCAACTGTCACCTTTAACCTCATTGTTATTGCCATCTTCATTTATTTATTTATTTATTACACACTTGTCACAATATATTTAAAATATATATTGACCAGGGGCGTGACTAGAGAATTACAGCTATATAAGAGATGGCATCTCTAGACCTATGGCCAATAACAAATAAAATAAGATATATTATAGTACATATAAAATATAAAGAAAACGGTAAACCGAAAAAACTAAAATGAATGTATACATTCATTCATTCCTCATTAACCACAATCATCAATACGATCACCATTATCCATCATCCTCATCATCATCATATATTCATCGTCGTCACTTAGGAATCTGACACTGGTTTGCACTATTCCGTAAGACAGTAAAATTGCATAGGCCAGGGTGTGACC